CACTCTGGCACAGAGAAAGGGTTACGAGCAGACCACCTTCCCAGCCACAGTGAATACCTTCTTGCCCTTCGACTCCTGCAGTTCCTGAACATCCCAGCAGAGGGAGACACTACTCCACTCCCAAGACCCCGAAGGGGGTCTTCTCCCTGCCATTGCAATATTGAAGTGTCTGGGCAACAGATGTTATTTGCCGGACACAACGTCCCCCTTAAATGAACTGGAATCTGCCCCAAGGCCTCCCCTTCCTCTATTTCCCTGGGCGCTTCCCCTTTGACTGTATTTCATCCTGAGAACCCACTCCACTCCTTATAGGGACTGTTCTCTCTTCTTTGTGGGTGGGGGAATGCCTTCCTCTGGGTCTAGGATCTGGGATTGAGAAATTGCTGGAGGCTCTTACATTCAGAAAGCATGTGGCTGTGTGAACATTCCCTTCACCCTGTCCTTCCTTGCTGAGGTGTGTGTGGGGATCCTTTCTCCCCTGCTCCCAGCAGACCAGTCTCCCAATAATCTTGATCCAGGGAATCCTTTTCCCTGTCCTGCACCCCACACTCTCCGTAAGACACCCTTTGCTGGCCTGGCTCCTGCGGCCCTCCTTCCCACCCCCACAATGGCATTAGGGGTTGGAGGTCGCCTGAAGTCCAACTGGTGGCCAGCTCAGAGCCACCCCTTTCCTGGCCCTGCCCCTCCTCATGACCCCAATCCTACGCCAGCCACTCAAAGACGCCTTGTTCTCTGTCCAGCCCCCAGACAAAAGTCCCTCTGTCTACGAAGGGGAATTGGGGGGAGGGGGTACCCCAAGGGGTGCCACGTGGGGGCCTACAGAGACCCCAGCCGGAAGGAATGCCATGTGGAGTGGGGGCAGGGAGGGAGAGGAGGAAGAAGCCTTCGCAGTGCAGAAGGCCTTATGTGGAGTGGGAGGCAGCCCTCGCCCCACTGACCACTCCATGGACCCAGGCATCCTGACCACTCACTTCCTGCATCCCTGGGAAATTCTGGCCTGGGGCTTGGGAGCCAGTTCTGTCTCCATGGGGCTGGGTGGTGGTTATGGCCCAGTCAAAGTTCCATCGTCCCCCACCCCCAAACTCTGCCCAGGTGTCTCCCCACACCCCACTCTGCACTCACAGCATTTTCTGTAGATACTCAAATCTTGTCAACAGCAAAATGTGGCTGGAAGGGGCTTTTAGACCCCCATAATCTCCACCAGTCCCTCCCTCTAGCATTGTCTCCCCTGACTGTTCCTGCTAGATGGAAATTCTCTTGTCCAAGACCCCAGAACCTTCCCCCTTTAAGCTCCTTTACTGGGGGCAGGAGATTAGAGAAAGACCCCCTCTCCTAATGTGAGGGACTAGATCCTAGCCCATCCTATTCCCCCTCCACCTCATCTGACACTGCTGGGCCCTTAGAGAGAACAGCTCGCTGCTGCTCCTGGCTGGGGAGGAAGTAGACCTGTCTCTTTAAGAGCAGGAATGAGGTGGGGGTGTCCTAGAGCCTTGGAGAGTCTGACTTGTTTTCTACCTGCCCAGGTTTGCTCAGGGTGTGGCAGCTGTGGACAAAGGCAGGACTCGGGATCAGCAGCCCCAGAGTTTTCCCGAGCCTCCACTCGGCCTGCTGAACCATACAGGTGAGTGGCTGGAGCCCCTTCCCTCTAACCCCCACTTGGCCCTGCTCCCAAACTGCCCCTGTCCCTGCCCCACCATCCTTCTGTGAGGGAACTGGGTGAGCCAGCTGGGGTGAGTTTGAGGTACACAGTGGGATTGGGGAGTATGGGAAGACTGGTGGTGCCTGAGTGGACCAAGGGTATCTAGGTGAATTGGGGGTAACGGGGTGGACCTGGGGTATCTAGGTGTATTGGGGACACATGTGTCCTGGAGACCTGCTCTCGGTGGGGGAGGAAGTGGAAAAAGGGATGGTGGCTGCCTGGAGAGATGAAAATGAAGTTTGTTAGATTTCTGGGATGAGGGCAGTCATTCTGCACACCCTTGAAGGCCTGGCCACCATCATGGAGAAATAGAAGGGGTGGCAGCAGTCGGATGGAGGACACAGCCAGCGCTTGGTGGAAATGGTCCCCAGGCCTTTGCTGGAACCCAGGAAGGAGTAAGGAAGGGTAGACAAGGAAGAGGCCTCAACAACTGCAGTCAGTTCCAGAGTGGCCCAGGGGCCTCTTCAAACAAAAGCCTGAATCGGGAAGGTGATATGCCCAGACACCCAGCTCCCAGTCCCCCTGGAAGAGCCTGGGGTGGACACTGTCATGCAGTCTTGGGTGCAGCCGATTCCATCCATCAGTCTTCCCTGTGTTGGGAGGCGAGATGGTGTCACGGGAATGGGGAACAATGGTGGCCTCACAGGTGGCATAGAGCATTTCATGGAAAGAGGCTTAAGAGCTGAGCCTCAACAATCACAGGGTGACAGAGGACCTAGTATCAAGCTGAAGTCACTGGGGTTACGGGTTAATGGAAGATGTGACAGCTACATGGGATAATGATAATGTTAGCTTCATCGATCTGTGAAAAGAGCCGAGAAAAATGCCCAGCACGGGGAAACACTCAGAAAACATCAGCTGATGTTACCAGCGACGGGATCATCATGGGCTAACAGAAGCCTGGTGAGGACCGCTTTTATGACAAGTAGTGAGTTACAGACCTGGGCCTGGAAGCATTGGCGGGTCTGCCCCACATCCCCATCAGCTATCCCCAAACCTCCTGGAGGTTCTCACACGCCTTAGGAATGCTCCGGGAAGGTTCAAGCCCATTTCCTGCAAGAAACGGATGCTTAAGCCAAAATGGCACCTCCAGCCTAGATGATTAATGAACAGGGAAACTGGGAGGAAACAGAGATTCCCAGGGCCTGGGGTGGGTACAGAAAGATGAAGGCGGCTGTGGGAACGTGCAGGAAACAAAAACTCAGGATGGGGGTTACATGGTGGGTACAAAGAAAAAGAGATGCGGCAGGCTCTCCAGCTATGGACTGGAATTTCTGCAGGGTCCCAGCAGGGAATGTCAAATGGGCCTTCCATTGAGTCTGTGGCCCCCATAGACTTAGGCAGAGTCAGGGAACCCCTAAAGCCGTAAGCAGAATTAAGGATGTTTGAATGATCATGGATTTTTGTTTGTGTGTTTGTTTTCCCTGGAAGAGGCCTGGAGCTTTGGTCAGAGACACAAAAGGGTCTGTGACCCAAAGGAGATTCCAGAAGAGACAAGGAGGGTCGTTGCCAGGATGGTTCAGTGGTTGGACACCCAGACTTCCGTGGGGTCCCCTCATCCTGGCCCTAATAGCATCATTCCCTCTCTAAGCAAAGGTTTTGCCATCAGCAGAATGGGGGGCACAACAGACAGCCTCGGGAAATTTGGGGGAACTAACATAACAACAATAACCACAAGTGAATCTTGAAAACACAAAAGTTTATTTGGCCGCATCAAGCACAGGGTGAGACGGAGTGTTCGCTGACACTACTGCTGTCATGATTATGACACTGTGTGTTTGTGGCAGTTGGACAAGGGACAGGAAGGGGACAAGGAGACACACAGAGAGGCCTAAGGGCTTATCACAGGCACACAAGGCGGTGGGAAGACAGGGCTAATGCCAGGCCAGGTTGATGTTGTTGTGTGCCATTGAGTCTGACCGACTCATAGTGACTCCTCTTTGGGTTTCCAAGGTGGTATCACTAAGGAAGTAGATTGCCCAACCTTCCTTCAGAGGAGTGGCTGGTGGGTTTGAACCGCCAGCCTTCTGGTTAGCAGTCAAATACCTTAGGCACTACACTGCCAGAGTTCCTGCCAGGCCAGGAATAGGAAGGAAAAGGGTTGTTTCTGGCCTACCTGGGGAGAGAGGAGGTGTTTGCGGCCAGGAGGAGCTAGTAGGACAGGGGGCCAGGAGGAGCTAGTGGGACAGGGGACCAGGAGGAGCTAGTGGGACAGGGGACGGGACTAGGCTGAGGTGGGAGAGGGGCCTGGGCAGGGCCTGGGGGGGAGGTGAGACAGAGGTTGGACCGGGGTAGGGGCAGGGCCAGGGGCTAGAATGATAGAAGCGAGGGTTAGAGGCAAGGGCGAGACTGGGCCAGGGGCTAGTGTAAGGTCCTGACTCAGACTGGGACAAGGTCTGGGGACTGGGCAGTGGCAGGAGCAGGAGCCCAAGATGGGGCTGGGGCTTTTCCCAGGTCTAGCTCTCCCCTTCCCCCACACCTCATGTTCTTTCTTCCTCACACTCTGTACTGAGCAGCCTGAGGATCCGGCCCTGGCCCAGCCTGAGGTCTGCAGAGTCTGGGCAGGGCCAGGCAGGCTCCAAGCTGTCTGTGGGAGACACTCCCAGGAACCAGGGCCTCCTGCCACCTGGCTCCCAACACCCCATTCCCCAAAACGCCCCAGCCCTCGACAGTCCCTGAGTTAGGAGCAGCTACCATGAAGCCAGACTGGTTTAAATCTCACTTCCGAGCTAGGTGACCCTGGGCACCTGCTTTTACCTCTCAGAGCCTTGATTTCCCGTCCGAAAATGGGAATGACTGTGGGCAGCCCGTCCTTCTCACTTGGTTGCCATGGTGGTTCACTTAAAGCCTAAGGTCTGTGTCCAAACCCACTGCAAGGGAGTCAATTCTGACTCATAGCGACCCTCACTGGGTTTCCAAGGCTGTCAATCTTTACTGAAGTAGATTGCCTCATCTTTCTCCCGCAGAGCAGCTGGTGGGTTTGAACCGCTGACCTGGTTAGCAGCCAAATAAATGCCTTACCCACTATGCCACCAGAGCTCCTTTAGGTCTGTGTCCAGTGAGTTATTATTGCTGTTCCCTCATTAGGTCTGCATGTCACCCAGCCCCCACTTCACTTATCAACACCTTATCTCTCAGCCCAGCCAGTTTCAGTGCCAGTGTTCCTGCCCTGGGTGAGCTGTGCACCCCAGGTGGGAAGCAGGATAGGAGGGTGATGGGAATCAGAGACATGGCGCCCAGCACCCTGGTGGCCCTGCTGAAGCTGGACCCTCTCCCGTAGACCCCAGCCCAGCACACCGACATGGAGAAGCTGGCCCTGAGTTTGCTCTTTCTCCTGGCAGGTGAGTGTCTATCCCTGGAACTGCCCTTTCTCCTGAACCCCTCAACTGGGAGCAGCCAAGCCTCCTGCATGTCTCTAGCTGGCAGTTTCCTGCCTCCCCACTGAGGTGGTGAATATTAGGATGGTGTCACATTGTTGATTTCAAGGGACATACAGGACAAGGCCTCTTACTGCAGTGGCTCACACAGCTAGAGAGCCACTTTCTCCCGTCCTCTTGTAAGTCTTCTGATGACATCAAGAAGGAGACTCAGTCCAGTGCTAACACTGTATTTTGAGAGGTAATTGGGAGGATAATAATAGCACCTACTACACAGCGTTGTGAAGATTAAACAGGTTAATAATTGAGAAGTACTTAGAGCAATACCTGGTACAGAATAAACTCTATGTGTTTGTTTAATTATAATAAAAATTACTAATCTCCCTTTAACAAAGAAACAAAAGAGTTTAGGCTCAGATCATAGGTGGGCACTGCCACCACTTCTCGCAATAATTTAATTCTAGTGCTTTGTTTTCATTGTATTTATTTTTATCTGTTACACAAGGCACACTGGTATTCCATTCAGGGCGGTGATATAAAGTTGCACTTTGAAATAAATTTATTTCAATATCTATTTTATTAAACTGGATTGAAGTTTATAGTTGGAGTTGTTTTCAAGAGGAGTGGTGAGCAAACACCAGAGAGATGAGAGGGTGTGGAATATTTGGGGAGATGGGCTGTGAGGATGACTGAATTGTGGGTAACAGGGTCCTGGGACTGAAACCATTTGTCATTTTGACAAGAAAATCCTTCCATTTCTATAGGAGGCATGGATTAGCCAGGGTGTCTGGAAATATGGGGCCAAACAGTGACCAAAAGTCACCCAGATTAAAACATATTTCAGGTGGTAAAATGCTATTATCACTGGCAGCTGTGGGCTGCATAGGGGAGTCCACATCTCCATGAATGGACATGCTAAATGCTGGACCCTTGCACCTTTGGGAGGCGGGGAACTGTCCCTCAAGGGACCGTTCTCTGGGGCCCCTAAATTCCCACTGGCCTTGCCCCTGGCTTTACTGAAGTCAGTATCACTATCTCGCCTTGTTGTCGTTGTTGTTATGTGCCGCCCTACTTCCCCTCTTTGCCTCACCAGATCTGCCTGCCCTGAACGCCAATGACCCAGAAGGTGAGTCAGGTTGGACTCTTGTGCCTGCCCTACCCCTAGTTTTCCGCCAGGACCCCCACATTCGGGCTGTTGTTCTAAATCTCATGTTCTTTTTTCTTCCTTTACAGATAAAAACAGTCCCTTCTACTATGGTGAGAGCTTACACCTTCTCTCCCTCCCTGACACACACTATCTTGTGCTGAGGGTCCCACAAAAGGTTGGATGAGGGCATGATGTTAGAGAAACGGGGCGGGGGGATGGGTGGACAGGAAGGGTCTAGAAGTGGAAAACCGAACGTTGGATTGAAGAAACGAGAGAGATGCCTACCTAGTTCTTGGAAGGATTCTACTCCAGCACTATAGATACACACAGGAAGTGAAGACAGCTCACAGGAAGTAATTGTTATAGTTTAAATCAACTGCTGGGAGAAAGGTTGACTTGAGAAAACCTCCCCTAGGGAGTGGAGCTATCTGGCCAAAATCTTCACCTGGCCTCCAGGTTTCCCAGGACCTGGCCCAGACCCACCCCACCCCACCCCTTGTCTCTCTGCCTCCTCCCTCCTCCCTCCTCCCTTCCTCCCACTTCCCATCATTCTCTCTGTTCCGGTCCCACGGCTCCCTCAGTTCCTCAGATAGAGCAGACATACTCCCAACTTCCAGCCCTTCCTCCTTGGTGTTCCTTCTGACTGGACCCTTTCCCCCCTCTTCTCCTTCAGATCTGTGCTCAATGTGGCCTCTTTTGAGAAGCCTTCTTTCCCCACTCTCTCTAAAAGAGCTGCTCCCCTGACTTTGTAACCTCTGACCCTACTCATTTTTCTTCAAGCGTTTATCTCTACCTGACCCTGTGTTGTGTATCTTGTTTGCTTATGGGCAAACCAGAATGCGAGTGCTAGAAGGGCTAGAATTCTGTTTGCTTCACTGTTGTGTCCCCAGCGGCCTGCACGTTGTTGTTGTTGCTGTTATGTGACATTGAGTCGGACCTGACGCATAGCGACCCCTCCTTGGGTTTCCGGGGCAGTATCGCTATGGCAGTACATTGCCCACCCTTCCTTCCGAGGAGTGGCTGGTGGGTTTGAACTGCCAGCCTTCTGGTTAGCAGTCAAGTGCCTTAGGCACTATGCTACCAGAGCACAATATGTTTGTGTCAAGGGCATGGAGGCGTGGAGGGGGAGGACAAAAGCTGGTGCTCAGATTCTCTTCTGCTTTTCTCCTAGACTGGCACAGCCTCCGGGTCGGTGGACTTATCTGTGCAGGGGTGCTCTGCGCCCTCGGCATCATTGTGCTCATGAGTGAGTGTAGGAACTAACGGGACCGAGGGCAAGGCTGTGGGGCCCCTCCTCTGACCGCTCTCCCTCCCCCACAGGTGGCAAGTGCAAATGCAAGTTCAGCCAGAAGCCCAGGTAAGCTGGATTCCCAGGGTGCCTGGCTCTTGCTGGACAGACACCTAGCAGGGAGGTAAGAGCTCAATATTTCAGAAAGAGAGCGGGCCCCAAGGACCTGCCCTGGGGGATTCTTGCCACTAATATTTCCCAGGTTTATTATTCATAGTTAATAACAATAATCCTCAGATAAATCTCAGTCCTGGAATGCTTTGGTCCTTGGGATTACGCTATCCTACAGTGGAAAAAACAGCCCGGAGGGCGTGTCTGGGCAAGCTGGGAATCCTCCAGCCCCGGGGCAAAGGACAAATGGGGGAGGATACCGATCTCACCACTTTTATCTCCCTAGTCACCGTGCAGGGCAAGTCCCACCTCTCATCAGTCCAGGTAAGTGGGCGACACAGTAGGGTTGAGCGGAAGGGGACGTGCATGTGCGTGCTTGGGGGGAAAGAACACTATATCCACCTACGCTAGCGGACCCCGTCATCTCTCCCAGGATCTGCCCACCACTGCTGAGGACGGCCCAGCTACAACCGCACAGAGGGCCTTTCTCTTCCCCAGCTCCTGGCTCTGCACACTCCCTGGCTGATCGGAGAGTTTAATCTACCAGATGGGCGTCTCCCTCTTCTCAGACTGCCTTGCCAGGGTCTCATCTCACCTCTCATTGGAAGGGGTCTTTTTATTCACTTTTTAATCAAAAATGATTTTTACCACAAGCCCAGACAACCTCAAGACTCTGTGTGTGTGCATCGGGGTCGGGTTTGGGGGTTGGGAGAAGGTGGCTGCTCCCTGAGGGCTGGAATGGAAGCCAGCAGCTGAATTTCTTTGTTGAGAAAAAGCCAAAGGCCTGCCCCCTTGTGGCCTGGAGGGTGGCATGGGGTCTGTGGTCATGGGAGCCATACATGCAGCTCCAAATTTTGCAGTAGCTAAAGAGAGGTGGGGAGCTCTGGTAGCGTAGTGCCTAAGGCACTTGCCTGCTAACCAGAAGGCTGGCGGTTCAAACCCACCAGCCACTCCTCGGAAGGAAGACTGGGCAATCTACTTCCCTGGAGATACTGCCTTGGAAACCCAAGGAGGGGGGTTGCTGTGAGTTGAGTTGACTCATCAGCAGTTGAGTTTGGTGTTTTTTTTTTTTTTTTTTTTTTTAAAGAGGGGACATTTTTGAGAGTTAAAGAGGGATCTGGTCATTTGGAATTCTGGGACACCCCAGTGGACATTGGTGTCATCCCAGGAAAACTAGGATGTAGGATCACCCTACCATGATGCAAACACTTAGATAGCTTATGCTTGTAATAGTAAGACCCTATGACCCTCCCACTCACCCCGAGACCCCACTTCTTATAAGAGATCTTTCCAAAATCCAAAAGTCCCTGTGAGACCTTTAAATAACTCCCACCAAGGTATTTGGCTGCTAACCAGAAGGTTGGTGGTCCAACACCCCCCGCCCCAGCCACTCCGCGGAAGGAAGATGGGGCAATCTACTTCCATAAAGATTTACTGCCTTGGAAACCCAATGGGGGTTGCTATGAATTGGAATTGACTCAATGGCAGTGGTTTTGGTTTTACACCCCTGACAACATATACATACCACAAAGCATGAGACCCTCCAATGAGCCTCAGTCCCTCGAGACCCCTAACATCCAATAAGACATCCAAAATGTCCCCATGAACTACCTATAACATTCCTAAAACCCTTCAAAACACCCAAAATTATCTCCCACAATGTCCTGAGACAAGACCCCAAAAGGGACCCACAATTTAAAAAAGGAGCCCTGGTGATGCAGTGGTTAAAGAGCTCAGCTGCCAACCAAAAGGTCAGCAGTTCAAACTCACCAGCTGCTGGGCAGCTGCTTCTGTAGAGATTTACAGCCTTGGAAACCCCGTGGGCTCTCAACAGCAGTGGGTTTGGTTTTTGGTTTATCTCTTAAACACTGCATGGAGTCCCACAATCATAGCCCCACACCCTTTAGAGACTCCATGACAGCTTACAGTGAACCGCCAAAGTGCAGCCCTGAGTTTTCCCTGCCTCCTTACTGTCTCTTCCCGGACCCCAACTCCCCCAAGTGGCTCGTGAGACACCCTCTCCTAGTGATTCCACAGTCACAGAAGGGGTGGGTGCATGGCGTGTTTATTGAGCTCATACACTTTCTGTCCTCGCCTCAGTCACCTGTCAGGGAGGGTACCGGGGCTCGCTGCAACACTTCTTGCTTTTCCCACCTCGCCCCCACCTCCACTCCGCCCACGTGCAAGAGGGACGGAAAGTGGCCATCCGCCTCCTGCAGCAGACATGCACACAAGCAGCAGGGGGAGCTAGCAAGTCAGGCAGGGACAACTGCCTAGCCACTGATGACGTCATGGAGGCGGGCGCTAAAAGCGATTGGTCAGATTGTGCAATGTTCTCGCCTCTTCTGTTCAGGGGAGGGGTAATGGAGCTGGGTCAGAGGAACTTCCAAGCTTTGTGAAACTTGGCATATTTTCCCCACTATGACTTCGTTCTCCCACTTGGTTCAGTGACCCAGTCTGAGACCCCAAGGAGCCCTTGGTAAGGGCAGCTGACCCCAGCACAGACTGAAAGGGCAACTTTGAAAGTCCATGTGGCTGGAGACTTCCATTTCCCCTAGTGGGTCCAGATCCTCCATGAAGTGGGCCAAAGCCTTGGACCTGTGGCTGGAGAACTTGGCCTATGGCTGACATCTCACAGAACCAGTTGTCATCTCAAGTTGGGCCTGGAGACCAATAAAGGGGGCATCCAGGGGACTAGGTTACTCACTCCAGCCCCCCACCATGGCCAGGGTCCCCTGTGGTATTAGGCACTGAGATCTAGCTCGTGAATCTGGTAGATCTGTGTGGGGCCCTTGAAGCAGGCAGCGAAAAGGAAGTGTTTGCCGGCCATTGTGACATGGGCAAATGCACGAGGAGCGACCAAGGCTGGCGGGCCCAGTTCCTGCAGTGGCTCCAGGAGCTTCTTGTCTGGCTCAAGGCGGAAGACATGGCTGAAGGCGAAGTCGCTGCCCAGGATAGCCAGCTGGTCCCTGGCGATGAGCAGTGGCTGGAAGACGTGGGCCCCACGTGAAGGCAGTTGCTGCAGCAGGCGAAACATGGAGCCGTCCCAGCGCATGACCTGTAGTGCAGTCGCTAGTTAGGGCCTGGGGTCTCAGAAGAGCCAGGAGGCTTGTAGTTCTCCAGGCTCCAGAAGACTTGGAACAACTTGGTAACAGGAGGCCTGTGGGCTTCCAAACTCTTGCAACTTTCTTATCTTTGGAAATAGGCTGCTTAGGCCACAAACTTTGGTCTTGTTCTTGTCCCTCATCTGTCCCTCACACCCCGCATGGCTTCAGTCAGCAAATCCTGTCAGTTTTTACCTGCACCAGTTACACATTTCTATTTCCATTGGTTGTGCCTTGGTCCAGCCCATTATCTCACCCCCTGTCCAAACTCACTGCCGTTGAGTCACATCCGACTCACTGTCAAAGCGACCCCTTCTTGGGTTTCCGAGGCGGTAGCACTACGGAAGTAGATTGCCCAATCTTCCTTCCATGGAGTTTTGAACTACCAGCCTTCTGGTTAGTAGTCAAATGCCTCAGGCACTACGCCACCAGAGCTCCTGTTCCCCACACAGACCCTGTGAAAATCTGAGTCAGCTCAGTGCCCTCCAAGCTCCCCCTGGATGCACCTTACTCCAGGTAAAAGGCCAAACCCTTTACTGGGACCCACAGGGACTGGGATGCTCAAGAAACTGAGGGAAATGAGCAAGACAGGAAGACAGTGAGTGGAGGGAGGTGCTGGAGGCAGTGGGAAGGATAGGGGTAGTTGTGGTTCAGTGTTAGAGTGGGTCAGAGTCACAGTCAGAGTTTAGTGGGGAGGGTAGGATCAGAGTCATGGGGCCAGTGTTGAGAGATGGGGAGAGGCTTAGGGTCAGCTTCCAGAGGTAACAGTCTTGGAGTCAGTGTTGGCCTGGGGTCAGAATTTCAAAGCCAGCACGTTAGGTGGGGTCAGAATTCAAAGTCCAGCATGTGTGGTTGGGCCAGAGTTAAAAGCCAATGTGTAAAGTGGGGTCAGTGCTGAAAAACCAGGCCTCGACGGGGCAGTGCTGCAGCTTCAGGCCTGGCTTGTGCACCCCACTGCCTGTCCTTTCCTCCAGGGCCCAGGCTCACCATGGAGTCCCCAATGTAGCGTGTCAGGCACAGGAACACATCTCCACCAGCCTGGAAGTGGCGTGTGGCGTAGACGTCCTCGGCCTCAGGGATGTCTGTCCGCCTCTCAAAGCGGCCACCAAACCAGTGGAAGAGCACAGGCCGCTGTGAGACTGAGGCCAGCAGCAGATGGGGCCGGCCGTCCAGCTCAAGGACCTCGGCGTCCGTATCCCGGTGCCAGGCATGCAGGCTCTGGCGTGGGTAAAAGCCTGACCCGTCTCGGCACAGCAGTGTGGTGCTGCCCGCCTTGGAGGCGTCAGCCACTACGAAGCAGGGCTGCCCATCCAGCCACAGCAGCTCAGCATCATTGGGTCGTGACAGCTGCCGCGGGGCCAGAGCCTGTATCAGGGCCAGGCGCAGGCCGGGGCTGGGCTGTTCCCACAGCTGGGAGCCTCCCCACAGGCGAGCCGCCAGCACAAAGAGGCGCGGGCCCAGCACCAGCGGCTTGCAGGACACCACCGAGGGGGCTACGGAGCAGGGGAGGCAGGAGGGCAGGTCAGGCTGGCCGGGGAGGCCACTGGGTCTGGGTGTCAGGCACGGGGTGAGTAGGAGGGCAGGAGGGTGGAAGGGGGCTCACCGGATAGCTCCTCTTTGGGTTGGAAGCGCTGCAGGCTGTAGTCCCAGGTGAGGACAAGGCAGCGGCCAGCGAAGGGCTGTGCCAGGATCATATGGGGCTCCCCCTGGTAGGAGAAGGGCTCCACACCTAGCGCTGATTCCCCGACTGTCTGGAACCAGGACAGCTCTGGGGGTGGCAGGAGAAAGTAAGGCAGGTTCAGGGGGACCCCTCATCACTGTGCCTCAGTTTGTACATCTCTGAAATAGGGACCATCTTGGTACTCGACTCACAGAGGCATTCGGCAGAATCTTTTTGATCTGTAGCTGTGCTAACTCACTGTAGCATGGTATTTACTCTTCTAAGCTACATGGTAGCATCAAGTAATAGCCTAGAGACAGCAGACTTACTAATTCATTCGACCCCACAGCATCCCTATGAAGTACATTCTGTTATATCCACTTTACAGTGAAGTTAATTGTCAGAGGCAGTCAGGTGTCTAACAAATCCATCCTTCCCATCTTCCACAAAATAGGATTTGAGCTGGGGTTAAGGCTGCCCCACTGAAGGGCACATTCTCAGTAACCCTCTGATAGTGGAAGTGACCATGTTCTCAGTGGAACAGGAGCAGGAGTGACGGGTATAAGGCTCACCTGACTCACTTGTATGAAAATGGCTTGCCCTGGATTTGGTCTCTTTCCTCTTCTTCCCATGAGCTTATGAACAAGTTACAACCCAATTTCAACCACAAGAACAAGGACAGTGCCTCGGGGCCTGCCCTTCCCACTGACTGCTCACCTCAGGTCCTTCTGTTTTCTTTAATTCATGGTATTTTGAACCTCTTTGTCACAGCAGCTAGCGTTAATATAACTGATACGCCAAGGTCACCGAGCTTGAGTGGTGGGGCTGGGCAGTTGAACTCAGGGTATAACATTTCACTTTACATGCCAGGCCCTCTCCTAGACACCAGGTTTGAAACAATGAACCAAGCCAACAAGGATGCCCATCAAATCATGTCATCCCGGCTCAGAACGTCTCATGACTTCTCATAGTCTTTACAATAAAGGCCACTCTCCTTTCCATGGCTTTCAAGGTCCTGCACAGTGAGGCCCCTGCCAGTCTCCAACCTCATCTGTGTCCTTCCTTTTACCAAGCCACCTACCATTGCCTATTCCTCAAACAGGACAAGCTGTGCTGCCGCAGGGCCTTTGCATATGCTGTTCCCTCTCTCTGGAGTGCCATCCCTCTGTTCTTCACTTAGCAAATCAAGATCTAATTTCATCTCTTCAGAAAAGCTTTCTCTGATCTCTCATGTAAGTTAGAAAGCCCCCTCCCCTGTTAATTTCCTTCATTACTCCATATGTTTATTACAATTTGTGGGATCAATTTATTTGTGCAATGTTTTATTTAATGTCTTTCTCCCTTCACTCCCAGGACTGCAAGCCCCATGAGGCCAGGCCCTAGGGTCACCACAGTGTCCCCATCACCTCACACAGGGTTGGCCACAGAGTGGCCCTCAGTGAATGTTTGTTGAATAAATGAATATAGAGTAGCCCCTAAGCTAACTCCTCTTGTTCTATGAGTCCCACAGACCAAAAATATGTCTTATGTGTAGAGAATAATATTAGTAGCATCCATTTGATAGAGCCTTCAGGTTTGAGCTCAAATGTCTCCTTCTTCAGGAAGTCCTTATTAACCCTCCAACTGTGTCGGGGTCTTGCTCTGGGCTCTCACAGTTCCCTAGACTTGCCCCCTTCGCAGCCCCATCACTCTACCAGGCTCTCCTACCACAGCCCTAGTCATTTGGGGCTCTGATCTCCCGCCCTTTGGACTAAGGGCTCAGGGAGACATCAATGCTCTGCTCCCAGCATCGCTCTGTGCCTTCACTGTTGTTGCTGTTAGCTGCTGTCAACTCAGTTCTGGCGCATGGCAACACCAGGTGGGCTTTCAAGGCTGTGGCCTTTCAGAGGCAGAGCGCCACTCCTGTCTTCTGAAGTTCCTCCAGCTGGGTTCAAATTGCCGACCTTTCAGCCAGTGATGGGTGTTTAACTGTTTTTGCCACCCAGGGACTCTGCCAGTGCTCATCAAGGCACCAGAATACGTTTATGGAAGAGCAAGATTAAATACATATAAATGAGATCATGATGCATGTGCAGTGGTTAGCACAGTACTTGGGACATTTAAAAAAAAATCACCACTGCCATTGAGTCAATTCTGACTCATAGTGACCCCACTGGGTTTCCAAGGCACAGTAAATCTTTATAGAAGTAGACTGCCTTATCTTCCTCCCACAGAGCAGCTGGTGGGTTTAGAACTCTCAGTCTTCTGGTTAGCATCCAAATGTCTTACCCCCTACGCCACCAGAGCTGCTTACTTGGCACATTAAAAAATAAATAAATAAATAACCAAACTCACTGCCATCGGGTCGATTTCAACTCATAGTGACCCCCATTGGGTTTCTAAGGTGGTAAATTTTTACAGAAGTAGATCGCCCCATCTGCCTTCCATGGAGAGGCTGGTGGGTTTGAACCTCTAACCTTCTGGTTAGCCACCAGAGCTCCTTTAATTGGCACATTGGAAGTATTTTTTTGAATGGTCAGTTGCATATTAACAAAATAGCAGCAGTCTTAGGCCCACCACCATTGTCATTATCATCACCAGCATCAGTGTCAGCCTCATTAACATGGATACTTATAATTGGCATCACCACCACAGGTGCCATCACCAGTACCACCACTACCCACCAACACTGTCACCACAACCACACCATCACCACCTAACTTGTAGTTATTTCTCATTTCCTGTCTCTGGCCTCTTTGCACCCTTCCTGGGTTCTCTCAAGTCTGATAGGACCAGAAATGGTCTCTGGTTATCTAGACCCTTTGGAGAACTTGAGGCATAGAAAAGTGAGGTGAGTTGACTGATTACGTAGGTAATCAGCAGCCCTGACCCCAACCTGTACCAAATGCAGGTGTAGATGCATTGAATTCTCACAGCAACTTTATGTCACTGTTTATTGGCCCCATTTTACAGTTAAGGAAACTGAGGCTCAGGGAGGTGAGACTGCTTGCCCAAGGTCTCACAGCTAGGAATGGCAGGGCAGGGAGTGATGTCAGCCCCTTGTCCCTGGATTCCTTCTGATATGGCCTCTTCTTCTGGGGGTTCCCATTACCCCCACCCACCCTGCTGGGAAAGCCCCCACCTATGGCTCTGCACTTGAACGTCTTGGGGTCGAGGTGGCGGAGTTGCTGGTGGGCCAGAGCAGCGGGGCCTGCACAGGCCCCAGTGCCCACGCTGGCATTCACGGTGGGCACCCACTGCAGCAGCCAGACGACACGGCAGTCACACTGGAATGGATTCCCACGGAGGTCCCTGGGACGAGAGGCCGGGGAGGGGCTGTGACCTGGCTTCCACTTCCTGGAGGTCATGCTCTCCACCCCTTCCCCAGGCAAGGATCGGGGATGGGGCTCCACAGGTGATGTGGAAAATACGGAAGAGCCACAGCTGCTGTACCCATTTGTGCTGACCAAGTGACACAGGTGCCCCTCCCCCTGCAGAGTTCCCCCGAGCCTCCCCTCACCCTTGCAGTCCCATTGATCCTCACACATGAGTCAGGGTCTCCAGACCTCGAAACAGGAATCTGGGGAGGGTCTCTAGATGGTTATTGGCCAGGCTCCTGGTGGAAGGAGAGGAGGAGAAACTATTAGCAAACACCAGAACACCCCGTGTGCCTGAGTGATGGGATGTGGACGCCTGTCAGGGAGGGTGGGGAGGTGGAAGGACGAGGCCCGGGAGGCACGCACAGGTGTGTGAGTGAGCGAAGTCCTCTGAGAGCATTCTTAGAGATGGAGCCGATCTCATTGTCCTCGATGAAGCTGTGGACGGAAGGCAGGGTGAGGAGAAGACCCTTGGTTCTCTGCTGTGGCCTCACAGTTCTTGGGAGAACTAACCCCACAGAAGCCACAGGCTACTGGAAGGCACAGAATTTGCCCCCAATACCTTACACAACCCAGGGAAGGCCTTCCCCAGAAACCTCCCCTCACTTGGTCCCAGCTTATAATCTCAGGCGCCAAGGACCTAGACCAATGGTCATTGCCAGCCTCAACATGAACACGGCCACCACCATCACTACCACTGCTACCATTATTACAAACACAGGCACGAACACCAGCATCACCTACACCACTCCCTCCACCAATCGTGTCATCACCCATACGCATGTCTTTACCATTGTCACTCATCCCAGTACCAACAACTGCCATCATCACTACCTCCATATTGTGCCACCACCACCAGTGCTAATGTTGTTGCCAATACCAGCATCACCACCCACTACCATCATCAGCACCAGTACCAATATCATTCATTATCAAACTCCACACCAACAACATTGATAATCATTACCAACATCACAATCTTCAAGATCAATACCAAAATAGCTGCCATTACCATCATCAGTACTGCTGTCCTCAATGACAATTACCAGCACTAGCACCCACACTACCAATACCACCACCATCATCATTGTCATCAAAACTCACATCTTCACCCATCAGCACTACTACTGCCAACATCTCCACCATCATCACCAAACCCAGGACCAATAGCATTGCCATTATCACAACACCAGCAATCTGCCCACAATAATCACCAACATCAACCCCAATACCATAATTACCAATGTCCCATAACACTAATAATTATCATCAATATCAGCCCCACAATCTTTATCATCAACATCATCAGCAGTACCATCACCACTGGTTCTGTCATTTTTATCAACACCATCCTTGCTCCATCATCATCAATAATGCTGTCACTTCCCCATTAGCAGCATCAATGTCAGCCTCATTAACATGGATTTTATAATTGGCATCACCACTACAGTATCACCACTACCCACCATCACTACCACCACCAACACTGTCACCACCACCACATCATCACCACCTAACTCGTTATTTCTAGTTAATTTCCTGTCTCTGGCTTCTTTGCACCATCCCAGGGTTCTCTCAAGTCTGATAGGACCAGAAATGGTCTCTGGTTATCTAGACCCTTTGGAGAGCTTGAAGCTTAGAAAGGAGAGGTGCATTGACTGAGATTACGTAGGTCATCAGTAGCCACCCCAATCAAGGAGCCAGGCCTCTTGCCCCTTCAGGAAGAGTCCTTCAACATCTCCTCCTTGGGACCATAAGCCCCTCCCTCCCTCTACTCTGAGAGTATGGGGCCCTCCTTCTCCTCTTCCCAGGCTTACCACATGCCCCCATTCCCTGGGTCTCACTCACAGGTACTGCAGGTGGGACAGGCCTGCAAATGCATCATCCTCAATCACGGAGAAAGAGTTGGATGTGAACAGGCTGGCAAGGGAACAGAAAAGGAATTGTTCCACAATTGTTGCCCCAACTGACGTTTAGGTTTGGTTTGCACCCTTGCTTCCCACAGGCATGGGCACATATCTCATGCGTGTGCGTGGACTGATGCTTTCACAGAAACTCACATGCACACATGTATGAACGCAGCCCCATGCCCTGTGCATGAACTTCCACCCCACACCTGCGTGTGAACAACAGTGTTCACATGCACGTTCATGAAACCCACACCCTTGAGCTAGGCCCCACTCACAGCAGGTGCAGTGATGGCATCCTCAGAAAGCTGCCAGCTTTCAGCTGGGTGACTCCGATCCTGACAAGAGAGCTGTTACACGGGCAACGATGGGTGAGCAAACTGCCCCTCCAATGCCCCGGCAGCATCCCAAAACCCTCTTCTGCCTGGGAGACCCTGGCAGGCCGCCCTGACCCGGGGTCCCAGGTGTCTCCCCCACATTCCCGGAGAGATAGGCCTTGGCAGGGATTCTGACAGCCCTCAGCCCACCCCTCCTCCTTGGGCCCCAAATGCTGCCCTTGCCCTTTGGGAGTTCCAATACTGCTCCCGTTGGGCTTTCAGCAGCCCTTCTGAGCGTCCCGTTGTTGCCCACATCCAGCCTCTGAAGATTCTGACAGTTGCCCATTTCCTTGGAGGCCCGTACGTTGCCTGAAACCCCTAGTGTCCGCAGGATCCCCATCCCCACCTCTGAGCCCCCAGAGGGCCTGGCACTCACAGCGACAGCAGGGTGGGGGAGAAGTTCTCAGGCAGGTCCGGGGAGCCCTCACACAGGGCGCTGTCTTTGGAGCAGGAGCAGCGCAGAGAGCATTTTACTTTTGGGGGTCTCCAGGCCACCTCCACCCCTGCCCCAGCCAGCAGCAGCAGCAGCAGAATGCCCACCCCTCCCATACCCCCTGACCCCCTCGGAGGCTCGGCTTCTCTGCCTGCCCAGCTCGGCCCAGGTTTCGGCCACTCTACATCTCCTCATCTAGGCGCCCCTCCATTCCGCCAGCTGGCTCGCTGACCCGGCGGCTCTCTCCCTCCCTCCCCCTCCCTCTCTCTCCCAGACTCGCTTTCTCCTTGTACCCTTTGATGTTCAATTGTCTGTTTCTTTCTCTGCTCCCTTTCTGTCTCCTTCTCTTTTTATATTTCTGACTTGGTGAGTTACTTTGTTTTCCTCGCTGTATCTCGCTCTATTTCTGCCTGCCTTGGTCTCTCTGCCTCTGTTTCTCTCTCTGTGTTTCTCTGTCTGTGCCTCTCTGTATTTTTGTCTCTTTAGGTCTCTGTGTGTCTGTCGGCCTCTCTCTGTGTGTGTCCCTCTGTCTGGTATATCTATTTCTCATCTCCCTGCCCCCTCTCTCTGGCCTCCCTTTCTAGTTCCTTGTAGTTTCTTTGCTGGCTCCCACATCCTTTGTCCCTTCTCCCTGAGGTTTAGGGAAAGGGACTCAATGAATACTGGCAGGGGAAGGCTGGGACGAGGAGGGGGGGTCAGAGGACATAGGAAGAGCCGCCCCTGGGAAACTGACTGAACAGCCCTGTGGGAGGGGCCTCCAGGGCCTGGGGCTGCCTCATGACCACTCCCAGATAGCCCCCTGCCCAGCTTCCCCCAATCCATCCCACTGGGGGACTGTGATGAAGACTGTCATTAGGGTGGGGACCAGATGGCTCTGAAGGAGGGCGGGGTGGGGCAGAGAGGCCACTGGGGATGGGGCTTACCCCCTGGCCACTCCCAGCCAGTCCCCTCCGCAGATTCCCTTGGCTCTAGGAGGGTGTGTAGGGCGATGTTATTGCAGCTAGGGGGCGGGGCAGCTCAGGTCCAGATGCTCCCTCTGGCGGCTACGTTTAGCAGGGCAGCTTCCCTGCCCCAAATCCAGGACCTCGTCCACCCTTGAGTGGCCACCACCCATTGATGATGATGATGATGATGATGATGATGATGGTGCCACCCTTCCTTCAGCATTTCTTCCCCACCAGACCCTGCCCCCAAACTCTATATCCATTAACTCATTCTATCCTCCCCACAGCCCTCTGAGCTTGATACTTTTTGACTGCTGACCAGAAGGCTGGGGGTTCAAACTCACCAGTCACTCCCTGGAAGGAAGATTGGGCAATCTACTTCCATAGTGACACCACCTCGGAAAGCCAAGAAGGGGTCGCTATGAGTTAGATCCGACTTGACTGCAGTGAGGTGGTTTTTTTTTTTTTAATTTTATAAATGGAGAAACTGAAGGCCAGAGAGGACAAGAAACTCATGCTCTGGGTTACCCAACTGGAGGGCAGAGCCAGGGTTCAAACCAGGCAGGTGGCTCCAGGCCTCACCTTGTAATTTTTGCACTTTTTTTTTTTTTGAGATCAGAATTCATGTGTATGTGTATAATTGGTTATTTTCATTTGGACTCATTCATGTACCAAGTTGGATGTATGCTGCCCATCAAAGAAGAGAAATAAGCAAATGACACCTGAAATAGTAATAAGAATATTTATTGAGCACTTACTATGTGCCGACCTTTTCACAAATTTACTCACTCAGTCCTCACAATAACCCCATGAGGTGAGTAGTATTACTATCCTCACTTTATGGATGGAGAAACTGAGGCACAAGGAGGTTAAATGATTCATTCCATGTTGCCAGGCTGGTCAGGTCTAAGCCTAAGCACTAGTGGGACCACCTTGCTGTCTGGATCAGGGGACGTACCCTTGCCAGGAGGAACCCCTATAACTCTCACTGCAGGTGCAATACCCAGAAGAGTCGCTGGAGGGCAGGGGTCTTAACAGCACTGGTTCAGAGGTCACACCCATTTGGGTTCCCAGTCCAGTTCTGTGTGGCCTCAGGCAAGTCACTCGACCTCCCTGATTCCCAGTTTTCCCTTTTGTCAAATCGGAGCAATCGTGGTACCAACGTCCTCGGTGTGGAGAGGACTCTTTGAGACAAGAGGAGCAACATACCCATTTGGGGTCTGGAATTGGCTGGGTACTCCACGGTGGTTGGCGGGCTTAGGAACAGGCTTTGGATCCAGGGGCCCGGTCCGCACCTGAGCAGCTAGGCCCTTTAGTTCTTGGTTTCCTCATCTGTAATGTTGTTGTTATCGGTAATGTTGTTGTTGTGAGGTGCCGTCAAGTTGTCTCCAACTCATAGCAACCTTATGTACAACAGAACGAAACACTGCCCGGTCCTGTGCCAGCCTCACAATCCTTGCTGTACCTGAGCCCATCGTTGCAGCCACTGTGTCAATCCATCTTGTTGAGGGCCTTCCTCTTTTTCGTTGACCATCCGCCTTACCAAGCATGACATCTTTCTCCAGGGAGTGGTCCCTTCTGATAACATGACCAAAGTAGGTGAGATGAAGTCTGGCCATTCTTGCTTCCAAAGAGCATTCCAGCTACACTTCTTTCAGGACATATTTGTTAGTTCTTTTAGCAGTCCATGGGACTTTCAGCATTCTTTGCCAACACCACAACTCCAAAGCACCACCTCATCATTACATCTGTATTGTAGGGATGCTAAACTTCTTGACAGGATCTTTGAAAGGGGAGATAAAAGGTGGTAGGGACACAGCAGTAGCAAAGACAGACCTGAGTTCATAGGATTCAGGATTCTCACTCCAGTTCAGGATGAAGATGACAAGGCCATTGATGGTGACAATGATGACAGCTAGCTTGTTCTTTTTTAAATCACTTACTGTGTGACAGGCTTTGTTCGAAATGTTTTGCATGGATAATCATTCCAACCTTTCTCTGAGGTGAATACTATCTCCCTTTTGTGGAAGGAGAAACTGAGCCACAGAGAGGTTAAGTCATTTGCCCAGCATCACACAGCTAGAAAGTGGCTGAGCCAGAATTCCAACCTGGCAGTGTTGCTTCAGAGCCCGCTCTTTGAGGGAAGGAAGCTGAGGCTTGACTAAGAGCCAGCTGTACCCCCACTTTCCCCCTGCACCGCCATCACCCCTCTCCAGTGCCACATAGACATCGGGGTTATCATTAACCAGGGACTGTCAGTGACCCTGGGCACCAGGGCCACTGGGAGGCAGGGATGAGAGGGTCCAGACCGACATGGATGAGGGAGCCTTTTCAAGCTGCCTGGGTCCTCTGAGGCCATGCCTGTGCCTGAGGCTTGGTGAGTCTACCTGTTTCTGACTCTGTTCTGCAGAACACGGTGCCTGGGCCTGTGTCTGACTCTTTGAGGGAGGGGGCAGCTTCTGCCCTTAACCACCAGGTGAACCTTGGGGAAATTAGCTTCACTTTGCTGAATCTTAAGGAGCTTTTGCGGCACAGTGTCTAAGACATTTGACTGCTAACCAGAAGGTTGGCAGTTCAAACCCACCAGCTGCTCCATGAAAGGAAAATGAACCAATCTACTTCCATAAATATTTACAGCCTTGGAAACCAAATGAGGGTCACTATAAGTCTGAATAGATTAGATACAGTGGGTTTGCTGAACCTTGACTTTCTCATCTCCAGAATGAGTTAGTAAGGGCACACATTGATCAGGTTCAGGGACTTCTGACCCCTGCAGGGGTTACACGGGTGACCTTGGTGATTTCTCCACTTCATAGAGGGGAAACTGAGGCACAGAGGCTCATATAGATTGCCCAGGGTCACACAGCCAGGAGTAGCAGAGCCCAGACCTAGTCCCAGGCTTCTCTGTCTTCAGTGATGTCAACCCAACCTCCCCATGAGGACACCGGGGGCACTGTCCTCCAGGGGTCATAGAGGGCACATGACCTCAGTGAAATAAAGGTTTGCCATATTTGGGGAATGTGCTAGAGTCTGAGAGTGTTAAAAACAAGTGTGTAGACCTGGATATCTGTGTGACTTTGTGGCACGCCCATGAGGGTATGAGCACAAGTGTGTGTCAGTGTTTCTGGGGTTATGCATAAGGGGGGCTGGTTGTATGACAATGCCCTTGACTGTGTTTCTGCCTGTGCACCTGCTTCTGTGTGTGTCCATGTAAACATGGTGCGTGTGTATGTGTGTACACAAGCATGCTGGTCTTCACCTCTTTGAGACTGCGCACCACCTGTGTGAGAATCTCTGGGTGTATTTATGTGTGTGTGCTGTTGTGCCACTGGATGGCCATTTGTGAGTGTGTGTTCACAAAGGGGTGTACCTTTATGACTATTTGTAAGAGTGGAAAGTTGTTTGTCTATGACTTTGTGTCTATATTGGGCATCTATCTGAAAGAATGTGTGTGTGTATGTGTGTGTGTGTGTGTGTCGTGTTCACAAATGTGTTTGTCTTGCTGCTCTGTGACTGGTGTAAGAGGTGTTGGCTGTATGTGTCTGGTTCTCTGAGTTTCTAGGTGCATGTGTGTATAGGTGTGCCCCTGGAGAGGGCTCACACCAGCAGCGAGCAAAACACACACACACACACACACACACAAATCCCCCTAATACTGTCCTGTGAGCTGCTGAGGGCTTCACAGAACACAGGTCTGAAACCAGCGCCCTCCTAAGTACGCAGACTAGGTGACCTTAGACCCCAGCGGGGCCCAGTTCCCAGGTAGTAGTGCAGAAAATCGTGAACACCTCTCTTTGCCTCTCCACCACGTCCACCCCAAGCTCAGAAGCTCTAAGGTGGCACGAGGTGTGTGCGTGTGCGCGCACGCATGCACGCACGCACGCACGGTAGTAGTGCGCGCGCACTTTGTGGCCCCCTGGCCAGCACCCTCTTCTTCCCAGTTTCCCAACACGCTGCCTGGTGTTCCTCCCTTTGAGCAGAGAGAGTTAACCCAGCAGGCCAGGGCGGTCTGGGCTGGGGGCCGCCCCCTGGCCCCCCTCCAGCCCCGGCTCCAGTTACAGCTGCTGGTTGGGGAGGGCAGGGGCAGGGTGGGGCTGTGAGGGGAGATCCTTGGGGGCGGTGCGTCCAGCTCTGGGCCAGGGGATCCAAAGTTCTCGCCCCGGGCACAGACACAGCCGGATGTTTGGGGGCTTCTTTCAGCGGGGGACAGCCTGATTGGGGTGAGAACCCCCTGCCCCTCCCTGCTAGGCCTCACCCCTTGCCTGGTTGGGCTGCCTATTTTGGAAGCAGGAGTGGCCAGCCTGTGGCTTCCCAGGCAGGCCAGACCCAAGAGGGAAGTGGTGTGGTTAGGACATTGGGGTTCCTCGGGGGTGGGAGTGTGGATGCGGCTCCTCCCTGCCCAGCTGCTGGGTGTCACCCTGGTGAGGTGTGGGCCTTGGGCACTCACTTGTGGAGCTCCAGCTGTGTCACTGTGAGGGGCACTGGAGGCCCTGATTAGTGCGTTTCAAGCAGAAGTTTTGGGAGAGAGTGTTGTCACCCTTCCAGCTCCACTATGTCTTCTGTCCCCCAGGCCCGCTGGCCTGGGCCGCATGCCATCCGCCTGGTGTTGTCCGGGTTGTGAAAGCGGCAGGTCAAGGGGGTATTGTTCGCTTTTCTCATCATTGCCAGGAGAGGAGAAGGGGTGGCCTTTCTCATGGGGGGCAGCCTGTGGTGCTGTGGCAGCTGGGCCTTACCCCAGCAGAGTTGAGCTTGACCCCCGGGTGGGGGAAGGAAGGCCGTTGCCATGGTGGCCTGTGCAAGGCAAATTCCTCCAGGGTGAAGTGGGAGATATTTATACCCAGGGTCAGGCAGAGAGAAGACAGGCGGCTGAGGGCAACGAGCGCTGGGACTTCACAGGGCCCTGCAAACAGGTGGGCCCTTGAGCATGTCCCGTTGTCTCACGCAGTGTGTCCATCTGTCCACCTGTGTGGGGTGAGACATCCCCTGCTAGGGTAGGTTTAAGGAATCTAAGGCCTGCTGTGGGGAGGTCAAGGCCTCTGAGACACCCATGTGGGCTGGATGTGTCTCATGCCCGCTTTTGTCACGTCTCTTGTTGTGTGAACCACTTCATTGTGTGGGTTATTTTGATGTCATGTCCCCGTGAAACGGGGTGCCCCTGTTTCTAGGGGTGACCAAGCTGGTTGATGCTTGTGGGATTAAGTCTTGGGCCCATCTCTGACTTAATCCCTTGGGTTCAGGTACCAATGGTGGGGAGGGGGGGTCAAGGATACACGTTTGCTGACCCTTGATGTCTCCTCAGGACAATGGTGTCTCTCAGCTACATCTTGGTTCTCTGTGTGGGTCTCCTCACCATGGTCAACGCAGGTGAGTCTGGGAGAGGCACTTGACCCCCTACCTCAGCCCCAAGGGTGGCTGGGGAAGGGAGACTCCACAAGAGAACCAAGCTGGGGGACCCCAACATAAACTGAGTCCACTGGGGCACTAATAAATTAGGAATCTCCACATAAGGTCCAGTCACGGGCTGGCATCTGAGGGAAGGATGAGCTGCTCCAGGTGAGGCAAAGGCGTGAGGGGGCAGTATTGGAGGCTGGCTTCTTGGTTGAATGATGGGATCGCAGCCAGCCTATAGTGAGACAGGGGGCAGGGCAGTTAGGTGCCCCCCACCCTGCTCAGGGTGGTACAGAGGGGGCAGCCAGAGAGGACGGGCAGTCTGCTCAACAGCCCCCAAACTCCCAGACCAAAAAGGGGGAGGCCCTGAAAGGCCCAGGAAGTATCCAACTCCTGACTTCTCTCTTCCCAGAAGCGCCACAGGAACATGATCCGTTCACATACGGTGAGGGCTGTCTGTCTGTCTGTGGGGACTTGGAGGGCAGGGCCTGGGTCTGCCTATCCTGTCCTTTATATCCCCTCTCTCTCTCTCACGTTTTCTCTGTCTCTACCACTTTCTCTCACTGTTTACGCCCCAGTCATATTCTCTCTCTCATATCCTGGCAATCTGATTCTTTGGGTCTTGATGTCCCCACCGGTGTCTTTCTCTTTCCCTGTGTGTGTCTCCGTCAACTTAATGCCTCTCTCTCGTTGCCTCCCCTTTCTGCTGCCTACTTTCGCTCCCCTCTGTTCCCTGCATCCCTCCCTCCTGCCCCTCGCCGTCTCTCCCTACCCCCTCAGCTTTTCCCTCCTCCTTCCTGTCTCCCCCTCTTCTCCTTCTTCTCTAGACACCTTCCTTTTCTCCCTGATGGTCCTCTCCCACTCTGCCCTCCTTCTCTTCTTCCTCCTCACGCTCACTGATCTCCGTTCTCCCGATTGCCTTCCTGATCCTTCGCCCCTGCCCCTTCCTCATCATTTTGCCCCTCTCCTCTTCCGCGTCCTCACTGCTCTCAGACTACAAATCCCTGCGGATCGGGGGCCTCACCGTCGCTGGGATCCTGTTCATCCTGGGTATCCTCATCATCCTCAGTGAGTCCCTCTTGTCCCGCCCCGCCCCGCCTCCATCCCCGCCCCGCCTCGCCTCCATCCCCGCCCTCCTCCCCGCCCCTTTTCTGCCATAGGCTGGATTCCTCGCTGCTCCGCCCCCTTTGTCGGGGCGCTGGAGCAACAGCGCCGCGAAGTGCCGGCCTAGACGGAAAATCTCAGCCCTCTTTTCCCCCTACCCCAGGCAGGAGATGCCGGTGCAAATTCAACCAGCAACAGAGGTAAGGGGCCCCTCTGGGGCCCTCCCTTGGCTACTGCGGCCCAAGAAGGGCGCTGGGGGCGAGGCGAGCAGTCCATCCAATCCGCGGCCAGAAACCTTTCAGCATGTGTGTATTAAGCACCTACTACGTGCAAGCCCCAAGGCAGGCCCTGGGAGGCAGCCTTAAATAAACCGTTCGCCCTGCCTGGCACAACTCCCAGCCCAGTGGGAGCAGTGGTGATGGAGTCCAACAACCCCACAAATATCACAAGCGTGCTAAGTGCTGGGAAGGAAAGGGACGCGGTGAAATGAGATCACTTCACACGGTGTCCCACTTTCCCTCTGAGTCCTGTTCCTAGGTCTCTGATTCATCTTTAAATAAAGCTTTTAAGCACAGGCACTGTATGAATATCTCCTCCGTGTGAATTTTCCATGTGAAGACAATTACTGATGTTATAAATAATAACCCAAACCCACTGCCATAGACTCATAGTCACCCTGGGGGACAGCGTAGGATTGCCCCATAGGGCCTCCAAGGCTGTCAATCTTTACAGAAGCAAAGCCCAAACCACACCCACTGCCATCCAGTCGATTCCCAGTCACAGCACCCCTAGAGGACAGAGTAGAACTGCCCCACAGGGTTTCCAAGGCTGTAAATGTTTATGGAAGCTGACTTGCCTCATCTTTCTTCCACGGAGGCCTGGTGGCCTTGAACTGCTGACCTTTTGGTTAGCAGCCCAATGCTTTAACCACACCATCAGAGCTCCTTTTCCTAAATAACAGCTAGTATTTATTGGGTGTGTGTCATGGTCTAGGGAGCTCTGGTGGCATAGTGCCTAAGGCATTTGACCACTAACCAGAAGGCTGGCGGTTCAAATCCACCCGCCACTCCTCGGAAGGAAGGTTGGGCAATCTACTTCCATAGTGATATGTGATACCGCTTTTGAAACCCAAGGAGGGGTTGCAGTGAGTTTGGTTTGGTTTTTGGTTATCATGACCTATATACGGTTCCATTATGTATCTTTTGTATCCTTCACACCACCTCCATGAAGTTGGTGCAGTTGTCACCCCCATTTTACAGATGAGGAAACTGAGGCACAGGGCGGTAAAACCATTTGCCCAAGATCACGCAACTGGAAGGTGGGGGTCCAAGGTTTCAAATCCAGGCCGTCTCTCTGCAGTGTGCTCTCAAGCAAGCCCCTTTGACCATTTCTCCCTCTCCGACTTCAAGTCCCCCACGCTCCTCCTTGATGGTTACCATGGAGCTCCTCCTGCCCGGCCCTATTCTGTAGGTTCACACCCACAGACTGCTCCCGGATGGCCTGCCCCTTGCGCCTCTCGGCCTCAGTACCTGGGTCTGTGGAATGAGTGCAGTATTGGAGTCTTCTGGGGTTGGCTGCCTCTTTAGTTTCCCATCCGGCATTCTCCCTGCCTCTTCCTTCCCAGGACTGGAGAACCCGATGAAGAGGAGGGAACTTTCCGCAGCTCCATCCGCCGTGAGTTGGGAGGGGCGGGGGCAGGAGGCTGCGCTGGTTCGGGGCGTGAGGGCTGGTTCCAAAGACCCCTTACCTGCTCCTCGCTGGGCTTGAGGAAGGAAGGGCTTGATCTGAAGCCGGAAGGTGGAGTTCCCATGCTTTTGAGAAATCCTCCACCGAAGTTGCAAGAGCCTCTCCCGACTCTCCAACTCTCTTGTGCCCCCCTCAGGTCTGTCCAGCCGCCGGCGGTAGAAACACCTGGCGCGATGGAACACCACCAGGTGCTGAGGCGCAGACTGTGCTGGGGGAGGGGGGAGAAGTGCGGGAGGGGCGGCGAGGAGGAGGGCTGCGGGGTCTCCTCCCCTCTCACCCTTTTCACCCGCACAGGATTCCCCTGGCACCTGACGCCTCTTACCCACCACCCGCGCGCCCACCGCCACCTGGACTGCCCCGCCCCCCAAGCCTGTCCCCACACACTCCCCACTGCCGCTCAGACTTTCAATAAAACATGCTTTTCTCTCTTGACAGCGGTTTGTTGGTCTGCCAGTCCCTTGGCTCACAAGCCTGGGCGCCCCTTTGGCCCCAGCAGGGGGCGCCCCCACCCTCGTGGAAGGGGCGGGGACTTCGGCAGTGGGCGGGGGCGGGGGTGGCCCCGACGGGGGCGGGCTCCCCGGGCCCCCATTGGCTGCAGGAGCCCCCAACACCAGGGCTCCCCCCTCCTCCCCCTCCCCCACCTCAGTCCGTCCTGCTTCCAGCTGCTGCAACCGCGCCTTCACTGCACAGACATCCAGCAGCCCCCTGCTCCGGCCCAGCATGGTGACCCCGACCCAGGCCCCCACAAAGGGTGAGCTGCGCCTGGGGAGGATACGCAGTGGGGGCGGGCTGTGGGGTCTGAGAGCTTAGGGGACAAGGTGTGGGAACATTCCAGGACTGCAAAGAGAAGGACTTGGGGAGGGGATGCCCGCTCCTTCCCTGGGCCGAGACCCCTGAAACACACCCCTTGGGGCCCTTTAGAGTCTCTTGGACACCTCCTCCCCGGGCGGTGTCGTCCCTGCGAGGGACCCGAGGTTGGAAAGTGGCGGCCCCTGGGAGAAGCATAACTCAGACTGGTCGCTATGGCAACTGGGTGGCTGGTCCAGCACAGTGGAGGTAGCAGAGGCGAAGAAATAGACTGCGAGGTTCGAAACGGTGGATCTGTGGCCAAAGGGGTTCTCACAGATTTCAGGGGTCAACGGGGCGATGAAGGGGGTGCGAGCACGTCTCTGTTCATTTAAGGGTTGGATCCTATGGTGGGCGTTTCTTGACATTCCTGACAGATGCAGAGGGAAAGATGGAGATGGAGAGTGGGAGGGAGGAAGTGATAGAGAGATGGAGAGAGACAGACTGAAAGAGAGAGACAGGGGAGACTGGCAGAGATCAGAGAGTGAAGGGAAGAGGCAGCCAGAGAGAGACAGAGGCAGAGGATCAGATAGAGCCAGAGACAGGGAGAGCCCGAGAGGGAGGGGATAGAGGTGAGGATGAAGAGGGAGCCACAGAAAGAGACAGACAGACCCACAAGGAGAGAGAGCGCGAGAAAAGGGGAGAGGGGGAGGCAGCATTGGGTGGGGCTCGAACCACTGCAGTGAGCCCCCGTGGGTGAGAGTGGGGAGCTGAGACCTTCCTTCCCAGCCTGCATGCAGGGTGTTGCCAGGTTGAGGAGGTGCAGTGGGGTGTGCACAAGACCCCCCCCCCAGCCGCACTCTGATTTACATATCACACTCATTAACCCAGTTATGCAGCCACTTCAACACTATTACCCCCTCGCCACCTCCTTTTCGGAGGCTGTTTCCACAAAGGAACAAGGAAGGAATGCCTTCGTGGGGGCAGGTGGGCACAGGGAAGGTTTCGAGCTCTGAGGGCAGGGCCAGTGGATGGGCCAGGGGTGCTGAGGTGCTCCTGGCACGGAAGGGAACCTCAGTTCCACACCGATCTCTCCCTCCCTGCCCCCTTTGCTGGCAGGTGGGGGCTGCTGCACTGAACCATATCTGCAGAATCCGAAGCAGGGCGGAGGGTGGGGGGTGGGGGCTGCAGAGGCTGGAAACCACCCTGGGGAGAGGGGGCAGGGCTGAGCCAGCAGGCCTGGCAGGCGCCCAGGGCTGCTGCTCACAGAGGTGGTGGTTAGCGGGATCGATGGCAGCACACGGGCAGAGTTGGAGGAATAGATGCCTCAGCCCCCTTCCCCCACTTCACTTTTACCCAGTCACAGCATAAGAGGGGGCAGCTAGTCTTGGGAAATTGAGGGGAGAGAGGAAGCGTGTTGTGCTTTGTAAGCCAGTCAAGGAAACTAATTAATGAATTGCTGGGGCAGGGGGTGGGGCTGAAGACCCCTCAGTCCCGCCAGGAGCAGGAGGGAGAACTGGAGGTTGGGGGACAAGCAGCGCAGGCTTGAGCATAGGTTGGTCTGGGTCCCTATCCCTGAGAGGAACCCTCAGCTTGGCCAAAAGCCAGCCCTGCAGGGCCACCAATGGGAGGGACAGAGGGAAGGGAGAGGTGCTCAGGGTTGGCCCCAGAGTCAGAAGCCATCCTTCAAACCTCACACAGACCCCACCCCAGCCTCAGGTATCCAACCCATCACCTCTCTACATCTCAGGATACCCCCAGCTGCCATAGTAACCACTTCTTTCCTAGTATCTCCTTGGCAACTGGCCAAGAGTAGTGCATATTCCTTCTGCCTTCCAGCTCCACCCTTAGCCCAGCCTCACCCCTAGGACTAAGATTGCTAGGGCAGCAGGGGCCAGGGGAGACCTTCTGCACAGAGCATCAAACACTCAGGGAGGAACCAGAGAGGGTCCTGGGATAGGTGTTCACCCAGTGGGTTCCTGATCACTTTTAGGGAAGGAGAGTGTGTGGAAACACAGGAGACAAAAACAGCATGATACAACCATTCCACCTTTTATACAGTCTCCTCCTGCAGCCTGGGAAGGCTCGCATTCATTCATTCATTCATTCATTCCAGAATACTTCTTTGAGAGCCTTTCTTAAATGCCATGATTAAGGCAGGGATGAGTCAAAGTTACTCACCATCTGGTGGGGGGCACTAAGAACAACAGACCGCTCTAAAACAGTGTTCCCTCATCTTGATGCTTTGGAGTACCACCTTCTCACCATCTCTGCCCTACCCAAATGTTCCCCACATGGGTAGTTACTTAATATTTTTCCATCAAAGGATTAATTTAAAAAAAAAAAAAGAACTTAATTAGCTTTATTTTATATCATTACTACAAATGGGAAAGCAGTAAATATTTTGCCTTAAATTGAAGGCAAACATAAAAACAATCTTGGGCAAGTGACTTCACCTTTCTGGGCCTCAGTGTCCTTATTTTGTAAAATGGGAATGACAATCAGAGAGCTGCCGTGAGGACTTAATGTGTCAATATCTGTAAAGTGCTAAAGGAGATCCTGGCATGGAGTCAGTGCCATAAATGCTGGTCAGATGAATGAAAGAAAGAAAAAAGGAAGAAAACCAAATATATGTCACAAAATTCTGCCGAGATATAGTTGCCTCCTGAAGGTTCTGATTACAAGGCCTGTTTTCTCCTAGGTCAAGGAGGAGCTTAACAGGATTCAAAGAGGTTAAAGACATCACTGCTAACCTAAGACTACCTCGTTGAAGGCCGGGCAGAGAACTGAAAAGGGCAAAGCACATCGTGTCAGCCACGTTGTTTAAAGTCTTGCCCAGGTGCCACCTGTATCAGTCAGTTTAGACTAGGTTGTGCTGCAGTAACAGATAGTACAAGTTTAGCTCTCACTCACACTATGTGCCCATCTCAGGTCAACTCAGGGTCTCTACTCACTGAAGAAAACGAACAGCCACCTTCTTGAACATTCTGGCCACCAGGACAGAGGCAAAAGAGCTTTAGTGGGTCTTGCATGAGCACTTACATGCTCCAGCGTGGAAGTGACTGTGACATTTCTACTTACAATTCATTGTCATAATTAATCACATGGCACCACCCAACCTCAAGGAGGCCATTGTTCCTTGAGTCTAGAAGGGGGGGGGGAGAACAGTAATGACAACACGTGATACTGCCTTGGCCCTCCTGCCCTAATGGCACACACCCCACACCTTCAGCTCTAGTTAAGACAGAATGTATTAAGAGTGATCAGAGAAGTTAAAGAGACTGTGGGCTGGGCTTCTTTAATGGGAAGGATGTTTGGAGTGTCCTGAAAGAAAATATGATTTGGGTCAGGGAGGTGGGAGATGAAGAGAAGGAGATGCACAGTACACACGTTTTACCCACAGGTTGACATTTCTGAGTTCAGGGGGGATCTTCGCACGCACGGGCATGTTTCCTAGGGTAGAGGTACATACATCTTCACACACCGTGGGAAAGCTCTTGTGAAATCAGTTTTAAATCTTAAAAATCAATGGTGTCTTAGAAATAATATACAGTCGGTAATATACTGTGAAAAGATGAAACTCAACGTGATTGCTTTGTTTTCTGGGTCTTGCAGTGGGGCTCCCCTGTACCAACCTCAGCAGCAGGGGTGCGTGGGTGAGAGCAAGGGCTGCAGTGCCAGCCCTTGGGAGCTCTCCGATGACTGAGAAGTTCTCGGAAGTGCTAAGGGGGAGCTTAGTGATGTGTTCAGCAGTCCACCAGTGGGAAATGCAATCTGTGCATTGTCTATGGCATCATGTACAAATAGGAGTGCGTATGTGGTTTTTTAGGGAATAGGTCCATAGCTTGCGTCAGACCTCCACAGGGGCCTGGGGTCAGGACTACCTTGGACAGTTGGATAGGTTGTACGCTGCACAGGGGAAGGTATCGATCTAGTGGGGGCTAGAATGCGGCCTGTGCCCCACTCTTTAGATCATCAGTATCATCCAGAAGGGGCCTCTTTATCTCATTTCCCCAAAGAAACTATTGGGCCAGTGGCCCCATTTGCATCCCTAAAAACGTTAGGAAACCCAGTGTTGAAATATTTTTCCCTCTCTCTCTGCCTTCCTTCCCACAGCTCCTCAGGAACCTGACCCATTTTACTATGGTGAGTGTGGGACTCTGTGATGAGGGTGCCCTGGAGATGTTCTGGGGCTGGATAGAGCAGCAGCCGTGGATCCCCGTGGGTCACTGCTGGTGTGGCTCTGGCTGTAGCCACATGATGCTTGCTGGGTCACTGGCCATGTGACCACATGTCTGTAGTTCACAGTGACTAGGCTTGGGGAGGGCAGAACCAGATCGGGGCTGGGGGATTCCACCAGGGCTCCTGGGAGCCCCCCTCAGGTCCCACCCTGGTGTGTATTGTGGTCATCAGAGAAGTAGATAAGGGAAGGATTTAAAGCATTGACTGTGAGGCCATGCTGCTGGGGTTTGAATCCTAACTTACCCACTCACTAGCTGTGTTACCTTGGGCTAGCAACTTCATCTCTCTGAGCCTTTCTGTGAAAACGGGATAGTAGTAGTTTCCTCCACCCAAGAGTCTTATGGCCCTGGGTGGCATGTTTGGTTTGTACTTGACTCACATGAAGTTACCCTGAGTTGAAATATACTAGGCAGCAGCTAACAACAACAGCTAATCTAAAGGTTGGCCGTTCAAATCCACCCAGTGGTGTCACAGAAGAGCGGCTTTAATAAAGATCGTAGCCAGGAAAACCCTATAGAGGAGTTCATCTCCAACACTTGGAGCTGCCGTGAGCTGGAACTGACCTACAGCAATGTGTTTTCTTTATTTATTTTGTTTACTTTTACTTTTATTGTGGTGAGAACATATACCCCAAGACATTCACCAACATAACAACTTCCCCATTTACAGCTCAGGGACGTTGATAACATTTTTCATGTTGGGTCATCATTATTGTTATCTTTTTCCAAACTATTCCACCACCATCCGCATAAACTCAGTGCCCCACAAACAAAAGCTTCTCCTTTCCCCCTCCCTCCTACCCTGGTAACTACTAATAATCATGTATAAAAGAACAAACCAAACTCACTGTCATGGAGTTGATCCCAACTCATAGTGACCCCTCCTTGAGTTTCTGAGGTGGTGTCTCTGCAGAAGTAGATTGCCCAACCTTCCTTCCAAGAAGTGGCTGTTGGGTTTGAACCGCTAGCCTTCTGGTTAGCAGTCAGATGCCTTAGGCACTATGCCACCAGAGCTCCCATGATTGTGTGTGTGTATATATATATATATATATATATATGTATATACACACACATACATACATACATACATATATATTTTTAAACTTACCTAGGAATTTACCCTCCGCTCCCTTCAATGTTTTTCCCCCTCAAAAAGAGGGTCGTAGGAAAGATGAACCTGGATGGTACCATTAAATTGTTAAAGCTCAAAGAAGTCCCAGGTCTGGCAGAGCTGGCCTCAGTTCCCCTCCAAGCACCCTCCTGCCCTCTCACTTTGCTCGTTCATACTGCTGTGGTCCTGCTCCACTATGCCTATTCCTGCTCACCGCAGGGCCTTTGCACCTGCTCTTCCTGCTGCCAGGTTCCTCTCCGTGTTCTCCACACGTCGGCCTAAGGCTCCTTCCCCTCCTTCAGGCCTCAGAGGAAATGCTGCCTGCTAGGCTCAGAAGGGCCCCCTCCCGCCTGCCCTGGCGACTCCGCCACAGTGCCGAGTGGGACTGCACTCACACCCAGCTGTGGTCAACTGTCTCGGCTTTCTCAGTTTTGGTTTTGTTTTGTGTTTTTTAGTGCTTTGTAACAATAGGAAAGTCAGCTCTTTGAAGGCAGAGACCTGGGCCACTGCTGGCACAGAGTGGGTGCTCCATGCATTCATATCCCAGCAAATATTTACTGAGCGCCTCTCAGGCCCTGATTCACACTGGGGACACCACAGTGAGCAAGACAGATAAAAATCCCTGCCCCCTGAATGGGAAAGAGACTCAAGAAAATAAATGTGAAAATTTGTTGTATAAAAGATAAAATTAGTTAGGAAGGAAAAAAGAGGGGATGAGATTAGAAAGTGTTGAGGGCAGCATGTGAAAGTTTAAATAGGACAGCCAAGGAAGGCTTCACTGATATTCAAATAAAACCCCGAAGTTGGTGAGGGAGAGAGCCATCTGGATATCTGGGGGAAGAGCTTTCAGGTAAAAGGAACAGCAAGTGCAAAGGCCCTGAGGCAGGACCATGCCCCATATGCTCTCAGACCAGCAGGAAGGCTACTGTGGCTGGAAGAGGGGAGTGAGGGTGAGGGTGAAGTGGGATGGATCCAAGAAGGAAAAGGGATGAGATAACAAAGGGCCTTGTTACCATGTGTAGGACTTTTGCTGTTACCTTGGGTGCGATGGGATCCAGGGGAAAGCTCTGAGTTGAGGAGAACCCTGATCTGATTCAGGTGTTCACAGGATCCCTGTGGCTGCATGACAGGGTGCATGTGTACTGTGGGGGTGGGGTGGAACACCCAGACCTTACACAAGGCTGCTGCAATAGTCCCAAAGGGCAACAATGATGAACAGGACCAGGACCAGGGTGGGGGCAGTAGGGGGAGATAAGAAACAAATAAATAAACCAACAAATGATTAGCTAGGGCAGAAGGAACAGAGGAAGAGGACAGGAGGGAGATCTTTGTGAGACCCAATAGTATTCAAGCCCTTTTTCTCAATTAACGCATTGGAGGAGCTTGCAGCATGGCCTGCTGTTGTTGTTATTATTTGCCATCGAGTCGGCCCCGACTCATAGCGACCCCTCCTTGGGTTTCTGAGGCAGTATCACTACGGAAGTAGGAATGCCCAACCTTCCTTCCGAGGAGTGGCTGGTGGGTTTGAACCGCCAGCCTTCTGGTTAGCAGTCAAGTGCCTTAGGCACTATGCTACCAGAGCTCCTAGCATGGCCTGCAGCATCCCTGAACTCTGGACACATGGCTGGTCGGCGTGAGGTCAGGCCTGAGGCTCCAGCTGGGGCTGAGCTACCAAGGCTGGGCTTGATGCTCCCCCCTTACCTCCCCTAGACTATGACACTGTGCAGACTGTGGGCATGACTCTGGCTACCATACTGTTCTTGCTGGGGATCCTCATCATTATTGGTAAGTGTGACCCCTTCCTGAGCTCTGAAGCTGCCTCAGAGACCTCCCTCAGATTTGCCCCTGCCCCCTTTGTCCAAATCCTTACGCCTTGTCTCCTTGTTCTGTCCGTCTCTCTCCTAACAGGCAAGAAGGTGAAGTGCAGGAAAGCGGACTCCAGGTCTGAGAGGTCTGGCAGCAATGGGGGGCGAGGGGCGAGGTGATGGGAGTACCCTAAGGCGTAGGGGTGCTTCCCCTGGGCCTGTTGTGTGTTTCCTGTAAAGCTGATGGCCGTTGAACCTCTTTATGCTTCTCTCCCTCATTTTTGCTTCCACAGCCCAACATGTAAATCCTGTAAGTCGGAGCTTCCCTCCTCAGGTGAGTGAAACCTGTGGCTCTGAAAGGAAGCTGGGTGGGAGAACAAGTGGGGTCAATTAGAATGGGGTTGCATTTGATATCCCTGGGAGCGGGACTGTGTACATGCATTAGATGGACAGGGGAAGTTCAATAGGGGGCTGAAACCCTGCAGATCAAAACTGCTGAGCCACGGAGAGCCCGCAAAACAGAAACATGGGCCTATGAGAGCAAACCGAACCAAACCCAAACTCACCGCCATCCAGTCAATTCTGACTCGTAGCAACCGGTTAGTAGGGAGTAGATCCGCTCCGTGAGGTTTCCAAGGCTGTCAGTCTTCACGGAAGCAAAGCCCAAACCAAACCCACTGCTGTCTAATTGATTCTTACTGACAGTGCCCCTAGAGGACGGAGTAGAACTGCCCCACAAGATTTCCAAGGCTGTCAATCTTTAAGGAAGCAGATTGCCCCATCTTTCTCCCATGGAGTGGCTGCTGAATACTTTACCTACTGTGCTACCAGAGCTCCTTCTGTAAAAGCAAAGATGAACTAATTCCTCACAGGAGAAATCCACAGCCCAGGAGAACAGGGGAAAAGGACTTCTGGTAGTCAGAATGCTGAAAGAGCTGAGCTCTTGAGAGGACAGGAAAATAGAATGTTTTCTAGACTTTATTATTCAGCTGGGCAGACGGAAGATTAAGTGACCAAGAGAAAGAAAGAACGAGAGAACCAGATAGACAGATGAGCTCCTGAATAACTGTGTCAAAGTAACATAAAGAGAAACAAAGAATACAGATTTTTTTTTTT